AGTCAGCAAAAACAAGACCAGGAGCTGACTGTTGTTCAGATAATAAACTCCTTATTGCCAAATATAGACTTAAATTGAAGAAAGTAGGGAAAACCACTAGACCATTCAGGTATGACCTAAATCAAATCCCTTATGACTATACAGTGGAAGTGAGAAATAGATTTAAGGGACTAGGTCTGATAGAGTGTCTGATGAACTATGGATGGAGGTTCGTGACATTGTGCAGGAGACAGGGATCAAGACGATCCCCATGGAAAAGAAATGCAAAAAGGCAAAATGATTGTCTGAGGAGGCCTTACAAATAGCTGTGGAAAGAAGCAAAAAGTAAAGGAGAAAAGGAAAGATATTCCCATTTGAATGCAGAGTTCCAAAGAATAGCCAGGGGAGATAAAAAAGCCTTCCTCAGTGACCAATGCAAAGAAATAGAGGAAAACAAAACAGAATGGAAAAGAGTAGAGATCTCTTCAAGAAAATTAGAGATACCAAGGGAGCATTTCATGCAAAGATGGGTTTGATAAAGGACATTGTATGGACTTAATGAGAAGATATTAAGAAGAGGTGGCAAGAGTACACAGAAGAACTGTATAAAAAAGATCTTCACACCCCAAATAATCACGATGGTGTGATCACTCATCTAGAGCCAGGCATCCTGGAATGTGAAGTCAAGTGCACCTTAGGAAGCATCACTATGAACAAAGCTAGTGATTTAACTTATATGCAGAGTACATCATGAGAAACCCTGGGCTGGAAGAAGCACAAGCTGGGAATCAAGACTGCCGGGAGAAATGTCAATAACCTCAGATCTGCAGATGACACCACCTTTATGGCAGAAAGTGAAGAAGAACTAAAAAGTCTCTTGATTAAAGTGAAAGACGAGAGTGAAAAAGTTGACTTAGAGCTCAACATTCAGAAAACTAAGATCATGGTATCTGGTCCCATCATTTCATGGGAAATAGATGGGGAAACAGTGGAAACAGTGTCAGACTTTATTTTTTTGAACTCCAAAATCACTGCAAATGGTGATTGTATCCATGAAATTAAAAGATGCTTACTCCTTGGCAGGAAAGTGATGAGCAACCTAGATAGCATATTAAAAAGCAGAGACATTACATTGCCAACAAAGATCCGTTTACTCAAGGCTATGGTTTTTCCAGTGGTCATGTATGGATGTGATAGTTGGACTGTGTAGAAACCTGAGCGCCAAAGAATTGATGCTTTTGAACTGTGGTGTTGGAGAAGACTCCTGAGAGTCCCTTCGACTGCAAAAAGATCCAACAAGTCCATCCTAAAGGAAGTCAGTACTGGGTGTTCATTGAAAGGACTGATGCTGAAGCTGAAACTCCAATTCTTTGGCCACCTTATGTGAAGAGTTGACTCATTGGAAAAGACCCTGATGCTGGGAGAAATTGGGGCAGGAGGAGAAGGGGATGGCAGAGGATGAGATGGCTGGATGGCATCACCAAGTCGATGGAGATGAGTTTGAGTGAACTCTGGGAGTTGGTGATGGACAGGGAGACCTCGTGTGCTGTGATTCTTGGGGTTGCAAAGAGTCGGTCACGATTGAGTGAATGAACTGAACTGAACTGAACTGAACTGACATCCAAACCTGACTATTGGATAAAACATAGGTTTGACTAGATGGACCTTTGTCAGCAAAGTAATGTCTCTGCTTTTTAATATGCTGTCTAGGTGGGTCATGGATTTTCTTCCAAGGAGCAAGTGGCTTTTAATTTCATGGCTGCAGTCACCATCTGCAGTGATTTTTGAGCTGAAGAAAAGAAAGTTTGTCACCTTTTCCATTGTTTCCCCATCTATTTGTGATAAAGTGATGGGACTAGATACTATGGTTTTAGTTTTAGTATATTGAGTTTTAAGCTAACTATTTCACTCTCCTTTTTCACTTTCATCAAGAGGATCTCCAGTTCCTCTTTAATTTCTGCAGTAAGGATAGTGTCATCTGTGTATCTGAGGTTACTGATGTTTCTTCTGGCAATCTTGATTCCAACTTGTGCTTCATTCAACCTGCCATTTCACATGATATGCTCTGCATAGAAGATAGATAAGCAGGTTGACCATATACAGCCTTAACGTACTCCTTTCCCAATTTGGAACTAGTCTGTTGTTCCATGGCCATTTCCAACTGTTGCTTCTTGACTTGCATACAGATTTCTCAGGAAGTTGATGAGGTGGCCCGGTATTCCCATCTCTTGAAGAATTTTCCACAGTTTTTGGTGATCTACACAGTCAAAGGATTTGGTATATTCAATAAAGCAGAAGTAGATGTTTTTCTGTGATTCTCTTGCATTTTTTATGATCCAATGGATGGTGGCAGTTTGATTTCTTGTTCCTCTGCCTTTTCTAAATCCATTGAACATCTGGAAGTTCACGGTTCGCATACTGTTGAAGCCTAGCTTGGAGAGTTTTGAGCATTACTTTGCTAGCGTGTGAGCTGAGTGTAATTGTGTGGTAGTTTGAACATTCTTTGGCATTGCCATTCTTTGGGATTGGAATGAAAAGTGACCGTTTTAATTTCTGTCGCCACTGTTGAGTTTTCGAAATTTGCTAGCGTATTGAGTGCAGCACTTTAACAGCATCATCTTTCAGGATTTGAAATAGCTCAACTGGAAATCCATCACCTCCATTAGCTTTGTTCATAGCGATGCTTCCTAAGGCCCACTTGACTTTGCATTCCAGGATGTCTAGCTCTAGGTAAGTGATCACACCATCATGCTTATCTGGGTCTTGAAGATCTTTTTTGTATAGTTCTCTGTCTATTCTTGCCACATCTTTAATATTTCCTGCTTCTGTTAGGTCCATACCATTTCTGTCCTTTACTGTGCCCGTCTTTGCATGAAATGTTCCCTTGGTATCTCTATTTTCTTGATGCATCCTCTAGTCTTTCCCATTCTATTGTTTTCCTCTACTTTCTTTGCACTGATCACAGAGAAGGCTTTTTTATCTCTCCTTTTTATTCTTCGGAACTGTGCATTCAAATGGGTATATCTTTCCTTTTCTCCTTTTCCTTTACCTTCTCTTATTTTCTCAGCTATTTTAAGGTCTCCTCAGACAACTGTTTTGCCTTTTTGCATTTGTTTTTCTTATGGACGGTCTTGATCACGGCCTCCTGTACAATGTCACGAACCTCTGTTCATAGTTCTTCAGGCACTCTCTATCAGATCTAATCCCTTGAATCTATTTGTCTCTTCCAGTGTATAATCGTAAGGGGTTTGGTTTAGGTCATAGATGAATGGTCTAGTGGTTTTCCCTCCTTTGAATTTTCCAAAAAGTAGTTCGTAATCTGAGCCATAGTCAGCTCGTGATATTGTTTTGCTGACTGTGTAGAGTTTTTCCGTTTGGCCACAAAGAGTATAATCAATCTGATTTCAGTGTTGACCATGTGGTGATGTCCATGGGTAGAGTCTTCTCTTGTGTTGTTGGAAGAGATTGTTTGCTATGACCAGTGCATTCTCTTGGCAAGACTCTGTTAGCCTTTGCCCTGCTTCATTTTATACTGGTGCATTTTGTGGATCACAAAAAACTGGAAAATTTTTAAAGAGATGGAAATACTAACCACTTTAGCTGCCTCCTGCGAAACCTGCATGCAGATTAAGAATCGACAGTTAGAAACAGACAAGGAGAAGCCGACTGGTTTCTAATTAGGAAAGGATTATGTCAAGGCTGTGTATTTTTCACCCTGCTTATTTAACTTTTATGCAGAATGCATCATGTGAAATGTTAGGCTGCATGAATCACAAGCTGGTATCAAGATTGCAGAAAATCATATCAATAACTTCAGATATGCAGATGACACCACCCTTATGGCAGAAAGTGAAGAGGAACTTAAAAGCCTCTTGATGGTGGTTAAAAAGGAGAGTGCAAAAGGTCGCTTAAACTCAGCATTCAAAATCTAAGATCATGGCATCTGGTTCCATCGCTTCATGGCAAATAGTTGGGGAAAAAATGGAAACTGTGGTAGATTTTATTTTCTTGTGCTCCAGAATCACTGTGGATGGTGAGTGAAGCCATGAAATTAAAAGACATTTGCTCCTCAGAAGAAAAACTATGACAAACCGAGACAGCATGTTAAAAAGCAGCGACATCACTTTGTTGACAGTGGCCGTATAGTCAAAGCTTTGTTTTTTTCCAGTAATCATGTAAGGATGTTAGATTTGGAAAATAAAGAAGGCTGAATGCTTAAGGTTTGATGCTTTCAATCTTTGCTACTGATGAAGACTCTTGAGAGTTCCTTGGATAGCAAGGACATCAAACCAGTCAATCCTAAAGGAAATCAACCCTGACTTTTTATCAGTAGGAATGAAGCTGAAGCTCTAGTACTTTGGCCACCTGATGAGAAGAGCCATCTCATTGAAAAGACCCTGATGTTAGTCAAAATTGAAGAGAAAAGAAAAAGAGGGCCTGGATGAGGTGGTTGAACAACATCATCGACTCAATGGACACGAGCTAGAGCAAACTCTGGGAGTGAGTAAAGGCCAGGGAAGCTTGATGTGCTGTAGTCCATGGGGTTGCGAAGAGTCGGACATACTGAAGGACTGAGCAACAAACAGCAGTGAATAAAACAGTCAACAATATTTGTATAGAAATGTTTGTCTGGATATGTTTTCAGTTCTTTTGCAAATATACACAGGAATGGAATTGCTGAATCATACAGTAACTATATGTTTAACTTTTATTTATTTTTTTTAGCACTTGTCAAAGTCACTTTAAACTTACAGAATGTTATGTATCAATTGTATATCAATAAAACTGGAGGGAAAAGCTGAGATAGGAGCATTCCTCCAAGAAAAGAGAAGAAAAAAGAAATCAATATTGAATTGATTAGGTACTGAACTTTTTTTCTTTTGTCCTTAGATTTGACACTTTCCTGTAGTGGTGCCATTGGGTTGTGGCACTGGTTTCTACCTCTTTTCCCTTAGACCTCTGCCTACTTGCCCATCATATACCATAATTAATTTGGTTTATCTTTTATTCTGTTCTTTCAGCTGAATCCTTCAAAGAATTTGCTGAATTGCTCAACGAAGTAGAAAACGAGAGGATGATGATGGTAGGTCATTAATACTTGGCCTGGAGCGAAGATCATGGCTGACTTTGGGGATTTTTTTTCTGTCCTCATTGTTTGGAGTGATACTTTTTGTTTGAGTTTCTGTCTCATTACTAACTGAGTACTATAAAGACTGGAAATTTATTTGGTTGTTCTATCTCAAGTTCCCATTCTGAGAGTTTAAAGGGAAATCACTATTCATTTCAGTGAGATAAGACTTGAGAGGACATTATATTTGGCTGTTGAACATATTGACAAAAATTGTGGTCTTCAGTGTTCTTAAACAAATTATCTATTTGTGTATTTATCTGCTTTTATAAATAGTGAGTTTATATTTATATGTTTGTATTTAAACATGTGATACTTTAATTTATATCTATGTGATAACATTCCCCCTTACATTTAAAATCTAATTGATTAATATTAATAGACTGTGATATTTAGAGTTTTGGTTCTGTAGAAAAATTGAGTGAAAATACAAAGAGATTTCATATACAGTTGCCCTTTGAACATGTGTTTGAACTCTGTGAGTCCACTTATATGTGGGTACTTTTCAATGAATACTACAGTACTACATGATCTGAGTTTGGTTGAATCTATGGGTCCAGAACCTCAGATACTGGAGGACTGACTGTGAGGCTATATGCAGACTTTTGACAGCACAGGGTTGGGACTTATGCCCTTCACACTTGCACTGTTCAAAGGTAAACTGTATTCCCTTTCTCCTTGCCACCACTCCCCATACAGTTTCCCTTATTATTAACATCTTGCCTGTGTGGTTTCCCTTATTATTAACAACTTGCAGTTGTTCCAATTAATGAACCTATATGAACACAATATTATTAACTAAAGTCCATAGTTACTTTAGGGTTCAATTTCTGTGTTGAATATTTTATCGCTTTTGACAAATGCTTAATGACACATATACAACATCAAAGTTTCATCATACAGAATGTTTTCACTGCCCTAAAAATCTCCTGTGATTCTACCTACCTTCTCTGACACTCAAACTCCTGACAAACACTTATCTTTTTTTACTGTGTTTTGCCTCTTCTAGAATGTTATATAATTGGAGTCGTATAGAATATAGCTGTTTCAGATTGACTTCTTTGACTTAGCAACATGCATTTAAAGTTCCTCTATGTCTTCTCATGGCTTCATAACTCATTTCTTTTTGTCAGTGAATAATTATGTATGCATATATTATAGTATATATTCCATTTTATGGATGGTGCCATTTCTTCACCATTTCACCTTATGAAGGATATATTGGTTACTTCCAAGTTTTGGCAATTAAGATTTTTTTTTTTAATTCTCCCTTCAATTCAGTTCAGTTGCTCAGTCATGTCTGACTCTTTGTGACCCCATGGTCACAGCACACCATGTGGACTGCAGCACACCAGGCTTCCCTGCCCGTCACCAATGCCTGGAGCTTGCTCAGACTCATGTCCATCAACTTGGTGATGCCATCCAACCATCTTGTCCTCTGTTGTCCCCTTCTTCTCCTGCCTTCAATCTTCCCAGCATCAGGGTCTTTTCCAGTGAGTCAGTTCATTACATCAGGTGGCCAAAGTATTGGTGCTTCAGTTTTAGCACCAGTCCTTCCAGTGAATATTCAGGACTGATCTCCTTTAGGATGGACTAGTTGGATCTCCTTGCTGTCCAAGGGACTCGCAAGAGTCTTCTCCA